CAGTGGTTTGCTCTTGCTCCGTTCTTTCCTCTCAAACATCTATCGTCCTTATCACCCTCCTTCTTTTTTTTTAATCTTTGTTACTCTCTTGTAACACCTCTAATCTTCAGCATTTATAAAATTATATAGCATAGGCCTATGACCTAATCGTGTTTCAAGTGCAATTGGTGTAAGGTGCCTTTCTTTGGGATACAACGTCGTGTCAGGGGTTTTATGCTCTTTAAGTTAAAGTAGGAGTTAAAAGACTCTATAGAGTGGGTGGTTTACGGATGCTTTGGTGAGATAATTGACTCCTTCTTTCCTATGAAACATCTGATCGTCCTTATCTCTCCTCCTTTTTTGTGTTTCTTATTCTTTTGTAACACCTCGTTAATCTTCTGCACTTATATGCCCTTATTGTGTTGCAAGTGCAGTAAAGCTCTTATTAAAAGTAAACTAAATAGAATTTAGAAAATGTATTATAATCCTCCTAAGCTTTGAGCTAGAACTCAGCTGCTGTATTCAACTTTAATTAAATCTTTTCGTTGACCAAGAGATTTAGTAGTGAAACACATCTTTATTTAAACGTCAAGGTATTGGAACGGACGGATGGTGGGTATACAGATTAACTCCCCCCCCCCTTTTTTTTTGTGGTAAATGTTTTTACAGCACTCGCAACTGCATACGAAAGGTCATTTGAGCGCTCGTCTGTTGGAAGAAACTTTTGAATTTTGCCCTGGTGACGCCGAAGCTTACTCCGATTTTGGACCACCAAGGGATCTTTAACGTGTGCAATTTGGACTCTTTAGACCTCCGACATTTTTTGCCTTTGTCCGCAGGGGTGTGGCTAAAGGACATCAGAAAGAGCTAGCAAAGGGTTGGCAGAAGAAAGGCTGCAAAAAGAGTCAGGAGCCCAGAGAAGGAGCCAAAGGAGATGAGGGGATGGGGGCAGAAAGTGTAGACGAAAGCAGACGACAGAACGTTGCCAGAGAGCAGGAAAGGAGCTAAAAGGAGACAATTTTTAGGTAATAACTATTTCCGTTGCTATCCAGATTCGAACCTGGGTCCTATTGAACGAGAGGCGAATATTTCAAGGCCAGGAGAGCCCCTATTCACACTCTGCTCTTAAAGAGAATGAGGTTGTTGTTTTTTTTCTCCAGACAATTTATAGCAACGAGAAGTACTTTATGTTGCTTTTAAAGGGGGTTAAGGGGGCTTTCGTGGCCTAGAGGTTAAGGTCTTTGCCTCACATTCAAAGGTCCCGGGTTCGAATCCGGGTAACGACCGAAACATTTTCTTCTCTAAAATTATCTCCTTTCATCTCATTTTCTGCTCTCTAGCAATGTTCTGTCGTCTGCTTTCGACACTCTTTCTTCTTCCACCCCTCACCTCTTTTGCCCTCTCCTCTGGCCTCTTTCTGCGGCCTTTCTTCTGCTACTCCTTGGCTCCTTCTTACTGCTGTCTTTCAGCCACACCCCCGATCTTCTAGTAGGAAAGATCTACATCTAGCCTTCTCGGACAAGGGCGAAAAATCTCGGAGGGCCCGCGTGAAAGTTGCGCACGTTAAAGATCCCTTGATGATCTAAAATCAATAAGAGTAGACTTCTGTTGCCACCCCGGCAAAATTCAAAATTTCCTACCAACTGAAAAAGTTTAATGTGTCCCGCGCGTCTCATAATGACCTTATTCAGTTGCTAGCGCCGTAACCCTCCCCCCCTCCCTTCCACCCAAGTAAAAAAGAAAAAAAAGAAGGGGGTTATCTATTATAGGAAAATTCCGTTACATGAGCATAGATTGCTGTCAGGCGGATCTTAAAAAATATGTTCTATTTATAACCTCTTTAGTGCTTGAACAGGGGGAAAGAGGGGGTTTAGTACAGCTTGTTGAAATAATAGGAAGCGTTGGAGAATATTGTAACAACAAGCAAGTTTGATGGAAAGAGAGGCAAAGGCAGACAGAGGGAAAAGACACTGGACAAGATGACAACTAGTGACAACATGACAAGGAGCAGCAAGAACAACAGACACCATTGCTGCAACGCAAGACAGAGTGAAGTGGAGGTCCATGATCGCCCACGCCAGTCGGCAAGCGTTCTGTTTATCTTTCCAAGCTGATGATTTGTATGACTGTCCGTCTCTGTGAACTTTTATCCCTCCGTCTCTTCATGTTTTCATGGTCCACATAATGTCTTCCTAGTCTGC